ATGCTACTAGTTCTTCTTTTGCAGAACCAATATAATTTAGGATTGAATTGGCTACCGAAATTGCAAAATTAAAAGAGGACTTAAGCAGCTAATATAGATGGTTTCAAAGCTATGTTGGTGAATGTGTCAGGGCACTGGTGCCAGAGTTGAGCTTAGGAAGCTTGGTGTGAATGTTTCAGCGAAGTCTATTTTCATTAAGATTATGAATGTTGGGAGTGTGTCATAGTAAACAATTGTGTGATGTTGAAAACACTTCGACAACTGGAAAAAGCATAAGTGTCTGGATGGTGTTTGGTGGAAACGTTATTCAAGCTACAGAATCTAGCCTCTTTTAGCTATAAAATTTCCGTAGTGCTCTAGTGGGCCTTCTAAGCAGTGTTAGAAGCTAAATGAAAGAAAAGGTTGGGCACATTGGCTATAGATCAGCGGCTTTGCCCTTAAGATTCTGATAAAATGCTCAACTCTTTTTTTCTTTTTTTTTTGCAGTATCTTACAGGAGGAGTCCTTCTATTGCGGAATAAGTTCTTTATAATCCTATACAGAGGCAAGGATTTTCTTCCTTCTCAAGTTGCAAACCTTGTAGCTGAAAGGGAGGTGGAGCTCACAAGATGTCAGCTTGAGGAAGAAGTTGCACGATTCAAAGCAATTGAAACTCTTCCAATCACTATGGAAGTATCAATGAGCAGTAGTAGTGTTGGGACTTTATCAGAATTCCAGACAATTGCAGAACCTGGAAAGGAGAAATCTGAGGTTGAAGTTCAATTAATGTCTGAAAAGGAAAGATTAGAAAAAGAACTGAGGAATCAACAGAACAACCTTCACATTGTAAGATATCAGCTATTTATTTTTCTCTTTCAATGTTTTAAGAAGCAAATGAAACACTTCCCTACTCTATCATGCAGCTCAAGAAGAAGATTGAAAAATCATCTATAGCACTGGGAAAGCTAAATGCTGCCTGGAGACCTGCCAAAGAGGATGATGATAAAGAAATCTTAACACAGGAAGAAAGACGATCTCTTAGGCAGATAGGATTGAAGATGGACAGGAGTTTAGTGCTTGGTGAGCAAATTTTTGCGATATTTTCCTCTCCGCTTTCTTGGTCAAACTATAAAAACTGTAGCTGAGTTGCGATCGGAAACTTGAGAGTCTTCTACAGATATATTGTCTGTTATCTACCCGGATTCTGAAATTTCTGTTATGATTACACATCTTAAATAGTTCCACAAAAAAGTGAACTATTATTTGTCATATTCCCTAGTTGGACTTGTATAAACAAACTGCTTTCCGCAATATTATTCACCGCTCGATAACAATGCTTCAACCCGAGCTAGTTGAGCCAACTATATTAATCCTTCATATCAATTCTGTTTTATTCAGCTCCATTTCATTCCAATATTCGACAACAATACCTCTGTCTGATAACTACTAATTGCTCAAAATTTTAGGATCTTAAAAATATTGAGAAAGTTTTCAGTTCTGCTCTATGATAAAACTATTTTGTGATCACTTGGTCACCTCAAATCTACTTTCTCAATTTCTCTTCAGGGAGACGTGGTGTTTTTGATGGTGTCTTAGCTGGTCTCCATCAGCATTGGAAGCACAGAGAAGTTATTAAGGTGATCACAATGCAGAAAATCTTTTCTCAGGTCATTCATACTGCAAAGCTCCTGGAGACAGAAAGTGGTGGAATACTGATTTCTGTTGACAAAATTAAAGAAGGCCATGCAATAATAATTTATCGGGGAAAGAACTACAGACGCCCGGAGTTGGTTCCTCAAAATCTTCTAAACAAAAGACAAGCTTTATGTCGGTCCCTGGAAATGCAGAGGCTTGGAGTGAGTCTTCTGCGTCTTAAGGCTAGTCTATTTAGTCCTTAGTTCTGTGACTGTTATAAATCCTGGATCTCAGAATTATGTTGTTCTTTCAGTCATTGAAGTTTTATGCAAATCAAACGGAGCAGGCAATCTCTGATCTTAAGTTGAAGTTGGTAATTTCTGTCTCTGTTAAAGTTCTTCTTTGTCTACTGATTGCCTTTGCCTTCCATTTTTAAAATTAGTTGTGACTATTTCTTTGGCATTGAAATGGTATCTCAAGTGAATCTTATCCAGTTTTATTAGCTGAAATTTGATGGATAGTTGTTTTTTGCAGGTAGAATATACAGTAAAGATTGGTCAAATGGGGGAGATCTAAAGCTAGTGGTGCAGTCATAACTACTATTGCTCTTGATCCCTGTCTTGACATGGTCTACATATATCAGCGCGAAGAGAATTCACCCATTGGCTAAGTGAGTTTAAGGTCATAAATCAAGGGCTCTCAAAGCAATAGTCCTTATTTCCCCATAATACTCACGTAGCTAGCCCATTAGCTAGGTGAGTATTATGGGGAAATAAGGACTATTGCTTTGAGAGCCCTTGATTATGACCTTAAACTCATTAAATTTTGAGATGGAAGTGCATCTTGGGATTTCACTTTTGGGATAACTGTGCAACTTGGAGAAACATTCAACTTTGTAATTCTCCTGATGAGACCAGAACAGTTCAGGTATCCTATTCTCTTACCTATAGAGATATATGCTGTCAATATCCTGATATTTTAGCTTTGTTTAACTTCAATTCTAGACGGATGGTTTGCAGCACTATAAATTTATTGGCTAAACCTTGCAAAATAGTTGCCTCATAATATCTTTATTATTTTTTTGGGTTGAAGTAAGAGGTGTAACTGCCTCATATTGTTTCAGCTTAATTTTGGATTTGGAAAATCTGGTCTGAAATATGGAGGTTTGAATTTCTTAACTATGAGAATGCAAAAGCTTAAGCCGCATCTAGACTTGAAGAGGTGTTGATCTACTAAAAGTCATGCCCTTGTCGAGGCTAAGATATGGTTTTTGAGTTTTGGCAGTTAAGCTTCCAACTTTTTGTACTGAGAGTCTGAGATCGATGATATCAGTGGCTTTAGAATCCCAAATATGAGCAGAAGACCAAGATTTAAAGCGGATACTACATATCGTGTGACCACGTGTTAAATAATGCAAATAGACAATAAGATGCCAAGGACTGCATCTTCTTAACAAAGTGGAGAGTTGATAAGCCCCCAAGGCCTAGCTCAAGTGGCAAAAGGTGGAGGATTTGTGGCTTAGGTCGCAGGTTCAAGCCCCACACCATGCAAAGCGAAGCCCGGTATTTAAGTGGAGAAGGGTAGAGGGGCGGGCCCATTATCCACCGAGTTTGGAAGGCTGTGATTGGTCCAAAGGGCGGGTCACAGACGGATTTCTCGGTTATCAAAAAAAAAAAGAAAAAAAAAAGTGGAGAGTTGATAAATCCTTCCACACCATGGGACTTAGCACTAGTGCGCCATGCACTGGGGTTTTGTGTGCACGAATGCCTACTTAATTTATCCCTTGGTAGCATTTTTGCTGGATTAGGTGTGTCATTCAATAAGGGGTCGTTTGGTAGAGTGTATTAGGAAAAATAACGCAAATGCATTGTGTATTACTAGTACCTTGTTTGGTACTCTTTTCCAACCTATGTATAACTAATGCTTGCATTAGTTATACACTCTATTGTGTATTAAGGTGTGTATTGCTAATACCATGGATTTCTAGGTATTAGCAATGCAATGGTTTTAATGCATGCATTAGATTAACTAATGACAAAACTACCCTCTAAGCCTAATAATAATAATTATTATAATAATAATAATGTGGGGGTATTTTGTAAACAAATATTTTTAATAGTCTTTATACAAGGCTTGCTATTTCCAATACATCAAACCAAACAATGTATAAGAAATAATGCAAGCATAACTAATGCAAGCATTACTAATGCTTGCATTACTAATGCATGCATTACTAATACATCATATTCAGCATTATTCTTATACACTCTACCAAACGACCCCTAAATGTATTAATCATTTCTCTTGCTGTGTTTTCCTGTCACTCTCATTCAATCAGCAAAAATTATGTGTCAACTAGCTCAGGGTGCTTCAGTTTAGGTTTTAATAGTTCTGATCGGTTTTTCCATAGCTGTAGAACTGGGACAGTCGAATTCTCAACCATGGTGTAGTTCACTTATCTGTATCTTGTGTGGCAGGATGGTGGTGGACTGCAGAAGCAATGGATTGATAGAGTAACATTGCTAACATTACATAATAGACAATTTCAAAGGACTGATACTTGTTGCATGATCTGGTAAGGTTTAAGATTATTTTGATTTAGTTCCAGAACTCAAACCTCAAGTCCCATGACCTGTATTACAGGAATTATCTGTCGAAGCATTAAGTAGGCCCACCTCTACACTTGAAAGCAATAAAACAGACATTTGGAGGAGGGAGAAGATGAACATACTACAGGGATTTGTTCCATACAGCACGGAGTCGGTAAACATTAATTGCACTGCTGAATTTAAGGACACTGTTCCTCCTCTCTTGCAGCAACTTTGTGATATTGTGCCAATTCTAGGTTTGAACTACTGCAGAAATGTTTTATACCACTCAATGGAAGATTGCATTACAAGGACCTGTTCTTACCACACATTGACTTTTAAAATTAAGTTCTTTAATCGAGGAGTGGCAAATCCACACTGCAGTAAAAGATGGTTGTGATGCAGGATGAGATGGGTGTTACCAGGAGGATTCATTGTTATTTAGTGATCATCAATCCAGAGTGTAGTGCACCTATGGCTTATCCTTCATTTAACACAAGACTACGACATAGGTGTTAGTGTAATTTATCAAAACAAGTGTGGTCAGGTTGTGGCTGCTCATTTACAGCAGGAGACGATACATATATAATTTGGATGACAGCCTTGGGTATTTTACGTTGGCACAAGCATTGTATGACATAGCTAGATTAACCAAATGAGTTAGAATGTTTGGTGAGGCCACCATAAATGAGAAATTTATGTTCTCTCTCTGCTTGTTACCAATTGGCAATAATTTTATCAACACACTAACGGCTCCGAAACTTAATCAGTGGTGATCAAACTCGGGATAGTACTCCCACTAAATTAATCAACACTTTCGTTTGAATATACTTACAAATTTGCATCAATTGTTTTTTACTCGGAAGCGATATTGGCTCCAGAAACGAACCTCCTTTCCGAGGTCGATGTGGATGTTGATGTAAATGACTCTAGGATGGATCTTGTTGGAGAAAACAAGACAGGTTTTGGTGGAACTTGTAGGGAGTGAAGGCTTCCCTCCAGCATTTCAACTGCCTTTTCTATTGCTGGTCGATCTGACGGCTTGGTCTGAATGCACCACAAGCCCACTAAAATCATCTTCCTTGCTAATTCTTCATCTTCTTCGTTCATGATACCTTGTAGACTTAGGTCCTTCCCCAGCTCGAGATGTTCATAGATCCAATTTGGAAAGTATACTTCACTAGTTTGGTTCATGTTAACATTGTTTCTCACTCCAACCATCTCAAGAACAAGCATGCCGTAGCTGTAGACATCTGATTTGTGAGAGACGTGTCCAAACGCTCTAGAGAACACTTCTGGAGCAATGTATCCAGCAGTTCCCCTGGCACCTAACATTGATAGAATGCTCTCCTTTCTCTCGCACAATCTAGAGAGGCCAAAGTCAGATATTTTGGGGCAGAAATCCTCGTCCAAGAGAATGTTGTGAGGTTTTATGTCAAAGTGCACTATTCTTGTGTTACAACCTCGGTGCAAATATTCCAACCCTCGAGCAGTCCCAACTGCGATACTGTACAATGTCGTCCATTCCAAGGTACAAGTTGTGCTAGATGGTCCACTGTTAAGAAATTTGTCCAGTGAACCATTGGACACATACTCATAGATTAAGGCTCTCCTATTTCCTTGGTAACAAAATCCCAAAAGCCCTACTATGTTAACATGGGAAGTTCTACTTATACTGGCTACCTCATTTATATATTCTTCTCCGTCACCATTAGTTTCTGTCAGGACCTTTACAGCTACTGCGTGACCATCAGGTAGATTTCCTTTGTATACCTGACCAAATCCTCCCTGTCCTATTTTATGGCTGAATGAGCTTGTTATTTTCTTTAGATCTGAATAGCTGTACATCTTTGGAGCATGAGATCCGTAATTTCTCATAAATTCTTCAATTTTGTGATCTTGTGATTCAATCTTCCAGCAAATCAGTGACTTACAGGATGACCCTCGACTTCTGAGGCAATAGATGATTGGAACTGATATTATGGCCAGCCCTGCGATACAAACTGCGGCAACTGCATATAGATATTGTTAATAGATCAAGTACAAATGCAGAAAAGCAGATTGAGGGAATGACACAGGGATGCTTTACCTATTACAGCTGTCGGAATCATTACTGAACCTGCAATATGTGCCAATAACTTATCATTCATTTCAGGATTTTATCTGAGCGCAACTACAAAGGACTATCATGAATGAACAACTCAAGCGAACCGTGTCACAGTTTCAAAATGTCTCTTTCACAGAGACTACAAAAGGAAAAATGAAGGAAAAGCTATAGATCGAGAGAATTTAGAAAAAAAAAGAAGGTGAATTGATGAATGACTAGTCAATCCAGAAGAGTGCAAGGACTTGAACATCACGACCATTAATGAACTTGATTTTTGCAAGTCCATGAAGAAAGACTAACCAAAACAAGAATTATGTTGTATATGCTTTTCAAGCAGAGTTTTTCTCAAGAAAGAATGATGAAACAGGTGGCTCTCATCAAAGATGCACTCGACATAAATTAGGTAGAGAAAGTTCCATGAAAGTCGCAAGATCAAGTTTTGGATACCTTCAAAAGACCTTGAAGATCGAATTCTTCCATACTGTCTCTTGAAGTGATGAATATAGTTTAAAAGGGGATGTTGGATATAAGCTAGATTTATCATCTACCAATTTTCGTAGTTCATATGCTAGTAATTGATATGAGAATTCATGTATGGTTTATACCTGAACTAAGGAAAAGAGTGATAGTAACTAAATTAAGATACATAAGGTATACGTTTGAATATGTAGAAATTCCTAGGAATTATAGCTGTTTTATTCAAAGTCTAAATTGGGACAAGATACTTTCTCCTACAACTTGTCTTCAAGTGATTCTAGTAGTAGTAAATTATGAGGATTAGTAGAGGAAAGATTACCGGGTAAGTGGTTTGGTCCATCGTTGCAGTAGTTTGAATGAGTACCATTTAGACAATGGCATGCAAAGTCTCCAGAATCTGGATTGGATCCACATCTTCCACCTGACGTGCGGCATTGTTGGCACTTAGAATCAATACCTGCCGTCCAATTAACTGAAAAACCGCCAGCAATGGCTCTTCTCAGAACTTCCACGGAAGCTGTAGGACTGGCTAATGCCACAGCACTCGTTTGATTGACCCTAGCTATTATTTCTTCCTGGCATGTTACCAGACTAAGGTTGAAGGGAACGTTGATCAGAGTGTATATACCAAATATGCTGCTATTGCAATTGAACCTATTTGGAGACGAAGGTGGTAACTGCAAACCAGGGCGGACGGTGCAGCCGAAATACAGAGTAATATTCAGGTCACTCGAAACATAGCTGAAAGTGTTTAAATCAAAGGAGGCATTCTCGGGATTATCCAAACAAATACTACTCAGTAAATCATCCCGAGCCAGGGTTACAATTCGATTAGGGGTGTTGATATCTATCACTTCGTATCTTGTTGATTCAATTGCAATTTTGGGTATGCTACTTTCGCACTTGATCTCAAAACTAGGATGACCACAATACTCTGGTTTTCTCCCTCCCCAAAAAGGGTAAATTATATTCATGCTGCCGCACTGAAACGGCTCACCACAACTCCTGTATCGCTCGTCATCTTGACCGAGGGATATGGGCATATGGAGAAAGCATAGAATGATAAACAGAATGACAGTTGAGTGGAGATCTGAGAGCATCTTTTTGGAGCAAATTCAGTCCAATCTTTCTTTTTAAATTTGCCTTTTAAAACTGCTTATCCAATTCTTACCTCGTCAAAGAAAGAAAAATAGGCTATGCTATGCATTCCGACTTGACAGAGATATTGTCGATTTTTCATATCAAGTTGTAACAATCAAAGTCAAGCATTGACTCGTTTACTTTTCTAAATTGGGAGTAAAACCATTTGAACGTTACTTTTACAACAACATATCCAAGGGAGTGTTTCCGAGAGACCCGACTTAAATAACCGGAAAAGAAAATTCAAAAGAAAAAAGTGCCTTGCAAATAATAGGAGAAACATTAGATAATAAAATTCTCATTCACTTTTTGTGTACATGAACCACTTTGACGTACATTGGGTAGAACGCAAGTGCATTGATTGGTGAACTCGATGCGTTTTTGGCTATGATAGGACTCAAATTTCTTGCGATTAACATATATATATCACACACTCTTTATCACTGGACCAAATCCCCAAGACTGAGTGAAGATTTATTAGATAAAGTGAAAACTGTTGCATTCGAACAACCAAAACCATAAAAAAGATTGCTAAAGAAATATTCTCTTGACATTAAAATTACGCAGTACCAAAAACTAAAGAGGTCCAAAATTGTCATTTTCTCTCTAGCTTATTAGTCAATATGACTCATTCAAAAAATCAAGATCACCAAAAGAAAAAAAAGCGTAGGTTGATTTATCTGTAACTTGTACCAAAAGTTTCCAACACGCGGTGAACCATCACCATCTCCACCTCTCTCCTTGTATGATTGTCATTCATTAGACTATTGGCAATAATGATATGTGGAACAAAATCAACTACTTTCACACGCTTTATTCTGCTTCAACTATATAAGTAAACTTCATATAATTTCCACGAAAAGAAAAGGAAGCAAAATAGAACTACCAGGAAAGCTGGGAGCTAAAATACTTATAGTTGGTAACTTAATCAATTACCAACTCTTAGAAGGAGGTACAGGAACACAAGTTAAATACCTTGAGCAATGCTCACCAGTATTTTACTTAAGTTGATGACATGGAAGAGTCCTGAGAGATGACGGAAATGTGACACTAATGGGGTAGTTAAATACCTTGAGCAATTTCCGACCTCAATATCATACAGCTAAAGACGAAAAGAAAGAAAAATTAGGCACTGCTAATCTTGGGACTACTCCAACAACAGTAACTAAAAAGACAGCTATTACTGAGAGAAATGAAAAAGAGATTTTGTTACGAAAATATGGAACGAATTTCCTTAGCAAACAGTTACACACAGGGGATGATACTCCAAGAGCTTCTGCCACTAAAGTTGCACATCTTGCATAATATACAAGTATGGAAGCTCATATGAGTATAAAACTACAAGCTTTTCATGTCAAAATGTTACATTTGATTATACAGGGGAAAAAGGGATGCACTACTTACTTTATTTCTCCGTCACCACTTTATATATTGATGGCACAGATAACTCAACCATTTACACCTACAATTACACTCACAGGAACTGCAGTTAGAGCTCATCCCTTGTTTGCATAAACAGGCACATGTTAACTTCTTAGGCGGGTTACTGGTGATTAATTAAAGGTGGTTTCCTTCTGTATTTTAGAAATCACCACACTAAGCCCTTTCTTCTCCTAAACCTGTCAACACGATCTGTGCTCATCCGCGACTTCTCAGGTTTGTTTGACTTCTTAGTCTTTTCAAGTCGACTATCCAAGCTGTTCCTTGAAATTTCAGGAAGATCAGGTTTCAGGTCAAATGTGTCGGTGGCACCACTTTCGGCAGGTTTACTCTGATTTTCAGACTCTGTTGATGCTTTCTGGGGGCCATTAGCAGCAGGCTTCGGTTTGCCAAGACCAAGAACAAATTTCTTTAGATGTTTGATATACTCTGGGTAAAGTTCAAGGTTGCAGTGTCCACCTCCATTTAACCATAAAGGTTCATATTTTTCTTTACATAGCTCCCACAGCTGTTTCCCGTGGGAGTAGTCAACAACTTCATCCGCTGTTCCCTATACATGTGTTAAAATCCTTTGAGTAAAATGTTCAAAAACAGAACCTTTGGAAGGTACAAGGCCGAAAGGGTCTAAAGTAATTTATTAACCGGTAAAGAATTAGGATCGTTGGGAGGTACAAACACGTAAAGGGTCTACAGTTATTATATTAACCAGTAACAGAACAGTTGCCCCACCATCTTTCCCGGACCCATCTCCACTGCGAAGTATTTGTAAATAGATTGAATTTGAAAGAGATTGGAAATTATGGAATAGAAGGATTAAACATTGGAAAAGAAGGGAAACTTACATGAATGACCAGAACCGGACAATTCACTGCACTAATCTTGTCAATGTTCTGAAATAAATTGGAGAAATGAAATCAGATTTTATAAGTGGAGATGGAAAAAGAATTACGTACTGATAACCACTGAGAGTGTTTTACCTTGTATATGTCAAACCAATATGTCCGCTTGACAGGGTACAAAACTCTTACACCAGACAATATTGGACTATGTAAAACAACACCTCGTAAATTGGGTACTCGTGATGCAAGATCAACAGTTGGGCCACTGCCAACAGATTGACCATAGAGTATTAGCTGTTCATCTTTGACCCCATATTGCTCCTTTAGGCATTTATATACTGCATCAATGTCCGCGTACGTATTACATTCAGATGGCTGCTTCAGAGAAAGGATGATTTCATTATAATTTAAACAGCAAACAGCAACAAGGGAATAGACCCATATGAAACTCAAATGATTTCCTAGAACAAGCAATGAATGAAAAATGCAAGATTACGAACTGAAACTTTCTTATATACCTGTGCCAGGTCTCACACAAATTTGTTAACAACATTAAGCAGAAAACTATATAAAGAAAGAAAAACATGTTTTAATGCCCAAAGCAACAACATTCTAATTAAAGTTTCACCAAGCGAGGCACAAAACGTGTTGAGGCGCTTTGCCTCGCTTAATATGCACTTCAGTATCTTCATCAAGGTTCTAAGACATACTCTTCTTGGTCAATAAGCCTCTTGTGAAGAGGCAACACTTAACAATCGATACTTTACTTTACGTGAATTGTCTTTAATTTTTTTGTTCATATATCTGCCTTTCATGCTTATAATTATTAGTCTTGAACTAATCATATATATTTGAATTTTTTTCTCACTTCGCGACCTTTTTCATTATCTCACGCTTTATTTGCACTTTGAGAGTTTTTTTGTGCTTTTTGCTTTAAATAACACGGAGTTCCACATGCCCAAATAACATAGCATGATTGCCAGCATCTAGAAACTAAAGAAATGAGGTAATAAACAAAGAATTATTCAGGTTTGGAAGCCATGAATAAGATTTAAGAATGTACAAAACCCCCGATCCAATTACAGATTTAAACTTTTCCTTTTTAAAAAAAAATTCTAAGAAAGCCAACCCAAATTGGTGAAATGTTAATGCTCTAGCTCTTTCAGCATCATCAGAACTTCGATAAGGCATATGTTTTTCACCTTATCGTATGGTATAGATGGTAAGCAATATTAATATTCCCTTAAAAGATGCTTGAGGGACAACAAAATGCATACTGAAAGGTCTCCCCAAATCTGGTAAGAAAATCAAGATATGTGATGCGTGTTGCAACATATCACATACAAAACGTGATAGAGGCAGAAGCAGAAAAAAAAGAACAATATTTCTTTCATATATGGATTTCATGAAGGGAATTAGACTTAAATAAAATTCCAGTCACGGTTTGTCGTGGGAGTTCACTAAATGAAGAAGTGGATGATCCATCATTGGTCATTGTACAAACAGGGCAAGCAAGCTCTTCCTTGAGAATTTCAAAATGAACGTTAAAGCTTTTAAGAGTTCATTGACAAACAGCTCCTGTTCTTAGACAGGTTACTGGTTAGGGTTATAGGGAGTTTATGACTAAACACAAGCCCATTGCCAATACTACACCTTGGGCATTCCTTCCTAGGAACAAAAAAACTTACCATTATAAGACAACAAAAATTAGCAGTTAAGTCCAAAAAGTGCATTGCAGGGTTCAAATAATTTCACAGACCCAACTACGTGAACTAGTTTGGTTAGCTAGTGCTTCAAGTTGTGGTTCTAATGAGAAAGGAGAAACTAAGCTAAAGGTTAGGTAACATATGTGGTGGTACTGAAAGAGCTTTGATGTGTTCTATAATATCTGCCGAGTAATCAATGCTACCTTAAAATAATCAATGTTAGTGTGTTCTTGCAAATAATGCTTTCAAATTATAGGACATATTCCTCCCCCAAACGCAAAAACAAAAAGAAGGTACAGAGGATAAAGGCGGACGTGGACACACAGGTTGGGGGGCAACGTAACTAAGAGAGCCATTCCATTTAGGGCAAGACAAAATGGCAGGTTGGGGCAGTCTCGTGTCTGAGCCAATTGGTCAGACGACGACTACTTCACGTATTGGTTTAGTATTAGCTGCCTAGTCCTTGTATATTTGCAAGTGAGCAAAAAAGAATACCATTGTCTTTATGTTTATTCGCGCATCACAAAATGGCCCAAGTGATATCCATATTAGATTGACTTTTTGATGTTGTAAAATAGATGAAAAACCATCTGTAATAATAGAGTACAAGTAACCTCCAAACTTATTGGAAATGATTCTTTTGCATTATTAGCATCGGTTAGAGACTGATTTCCCTTGGCATTATATATCATTGTCCAAATTCAGAGTGACAAATTACTGGAGCGACTACAGAGGATAAGATATCTGTTCTCTGACATCAAATTTTGCTTCAGAGAATCTTAGGAGTTAAGAGTTTAAGACCTTGTAGTAACATGGGTGACAAGTGGCGTTAAATGATTAATACGAGGCCTGAAGGAGAGGTGATATAACATTGACATCATCCATGGTCTTTATAACTAAACTTCCATGTAAGAAATCTAGAGAAAATGTTTTTTTTTTCTTTCAATAAATAAGAAATCTACTGAAAGTGAGCAAACGAAGATTTTAAGAAAGAAATTCGTCAATCTTTACATAAAGGTTGCATAAGAATTTCGTAAATATGATATGCCCACATATAAATGAAAACAAATATAACAATTATATAGCTCAGGGATGAGGACATGAGGTTGACACCTGGCTTCTACCATATCTTAGCAGCATTTACTTTTAATCTTCTGAAATTTTAATGAAGTCCAAAAAGGTAAAAATTAAAGTTCTACCATCACATTCCTCCATTAACAAGTATCATTGCAAGTTAGAGCTGGTTGATAAAGCCAGTTTTCAAAACAGATGTCAATTTTCTTCCTACTAATAATGTTATTATACAAGTAACAAACTGAAACAGGTGAAGGCAGTAAGGTTTTTCTCTTTGTCCCTGTTTTCTTTATGAACATGGGGAACAAAAAGCTGCCAAGTACATATGACCAAGGAAGCAGGTATCTAACCTTTCCACTTGATTGTCCATATCCAGAGTAATCATACCTAAACAAGAAACCATATGAGCAACGTCAGGAGGGTCTGAGAAATCAAACGGCAATCCTACTGTTTAGTTTGACATTAAAAAAGTTCTAGAATTGAAGCAAATGAATGCTCTATTTACGAAACTAGAGAGAGACAGAGAGACCAGGGGGTTCAACCATAATATTTACTTAATCGGGGGTCTTCCAGATGCAACTCGCAATAGGTCAAATTGCACAGAAGATAGGAAATGATCACGAGTTACTAAAATCTAGTATAGAGTAAAGTAGTAAAGCGAAACAAGCTGCTTGCTTGAATTGGACTCCTGGACCTCAAGCTTGGCTTGCTTCTAACATCTACTTGATTATCAAATTATTATCCACTAGTAATCATGTATCAACCATAGCACCAATGCTAGGGAAATACAGCACAAAAATAACAATTTCATGCCATCCGCACGTTATAGGAGAGTCAATATAAATAGCCTAATGTTAGTTGCATTTCAGAAAATTAGTTTGACAGTGTGTCACGCACTACAGTTTAAAACAAACAACCTCAAATTTTCTCCAATTTCGTAAAATCTCAAAAAGAATTCTTAAAGCTACGACGGTCACAACATAAAGCTAGGAAAGTCACGACACGAAGTAAAAACATCATGTCATTATCATCTTACAGGGAGAATCAAAATATACAGCATAAAGTAAGTCATGTTTTGGAAACACATTTGACTGTGTCATGCGCGATAAATTAAAACAAACAACTTCTTCAAACTTTCTCGAATTTTGTTAAATCTCAACAAAATTCTCAATTTGGAATATGTTCTACTAAAGATGTATTATTTCTACTCAACTAAATATCTTGACCCAAAAAATGTTAAGTATTTTACTTCCAAGTTCCAACCATTTCTCTTATTCAAGGAAAAGTGATCCAAATATGGAAGTTACAACTTCTCAATTACTGCATAAGCTGTCTTTGATATTGCTAGATTCAAGAAAATAAGAACAAAATAAAAACTTAAAACAGAAATAAGGTTTCAGAGAAAAAAGAAAAAGATAAGCTTTAGCTCAGAATGAGATAACAGAAACTAAATTGAGAAATTAGGAAATAAAATTGAGCTAATTAGAAGGGAAGCTTAATTAAATTACCCCATGAGATTAACACGAAGACGGAGGCTCAATTCAACAAAGAGCTCAAACATCTGACCCAAATCAGCAGCATTACCATGAGAATACAGCATAGTAGCAGATGCCTTTGGATGCTTCACATGAACGGCCACGATTTCATTTCCACGGCGAGTACGAAGTTTCAAAAAGTCTACTCCATCTCTCCTAGCTACCTCAGGTATGCTAAACTTGCCGTCGTCGGGGACCACCGTATACGACGGCGGAGTCGGTGGGAAGAAGGCGAACTTAGCAGCGATGGAAGAAGTCACTCCTCCCATTATCTACAGTAACTTAATGCTACTGCACCAATCATAAAGCAGCCCCCTTTTCCCCTATCTTCTTCTTCAGGGCGGCGCGTGGAGGTCAAGGGAGGCGCGTAGCGGTTTGAAAAAAAAAAAGGAATATGCTATGACTAAGAAAAGGTTGTTGGAGGAAGAGGGGATATATTGTATAACGTTGGAGTTTTCGGATTTTATGCAACACTTTATGACTCATAAGTATGATTGTAACTTGTAAGAATTTGTTCAATTTTATTTGTCAAGTTTGTTTAGTCGAAAATTAAGTTATATGAATTTTAATAAAAAAATTAGTCAAATTGATTTCTATAAAGCGAAATTCGACAAATAAAAGTGATGAATACAATTAAGAAAAGCTTAAATGAATTAATTCAAACAAAAATATCAACAATATTTATAATAATTGTTTAATTATTAACGTTAGATTAGAATTTTCTAACCACGATGTTAAGATAACTTTAATTACCAAACCACGGAAGAAGGTAATGGAGCTTTTTGACTATTTAACCATTGTAGAAATGCACCTTAATGGACTTTAATTAGCATACTTAATTTTGGTTACAAATATATCTAGAAGAAAAGAAAATGTTAGTTCAAGAAAGCATAAAATATTATTAAAAAATGGTCTACCAAGTACCAACCAACCAACCATGAAAACAAGAATATCATAGTCTCCCAAATACTATATATTCCTCACGTTTTGTGCATATCATAGACATGTTCGAGGAAGAAATAGAAAAGTTGATAATTCTTAGGAGAAAGGTTCTTCTTTTTATATATATTTAAAATGCTAAAATTCAAGGAGAATATCTATTGAAGTGAAGGTAATTATTCTTGACTGATTAATATTAATTCTTCCATTTTAATTTATCAGATATTTTATCTTTAGATAAACTAAAAAAAAAAGTGTCACGTAAAACAGATGGATTATGATATTGGTGCAGCAAGTTGGAAGATGGAACCAAAGAGAAAAGGTTAATAGGACAAAGTCTTTTCCTCTTTCTTGTTTTTAAAAATTGTGTACTTGCCCAAGGAATGATAAACGCCTATAACGTATCTATGGAAAACATTATTAATTGGAGAGCATCAATTATCAAAGATTGTCCTTTTAGGTCAAACCAATTGAATGAGAGAAGAGAGAGAGAGACAGAGTTAATGGAACACGTCAAAATAATCCCATCTGTACCATTTTCACATTTCCATTTCTTCTTCTTTTTCACAATCGTAATGTCTACATCAACTTATAGGAAAATATAAAATTTAAAATTAATGAGATTTTATAGCTATAAGTTTAATATATTGAAATAATCAAGTTTATAATTAAATATATTTATAATAATTTAAAATCTTTTTTTTTAATACATATATAGAATTCATATGCAAAAGTTATTAAATTTACGTGAATCACACATGATTCACTCCGATGGAAGAGGTGGTGAAGTATTTTCCTTATTACACAATACGACGAAAATCTAAAGGAAAAGAAACCTAAGCTATACTTCCTTTTATTACGTAAAGAAATAGTGTCCCATATGATTGAAACTGCAAAACACAATACAAAAAGTTAAAAAGAGAAATGTCAATCTTCTACGCAAAGAAATGCTATAAAGCGCAACTTATATTTAGCCATCACCAGCTACAATATTTAACTAAAAGTATTTTTTTAGAGTTGTATTGAATAATGATTAATGAACGTGATGAAGAGAGTGATGCATAATGGAATTATAACCATTTCTTTATTCTGTAAAAGAATATAAATCGTCAAGAATATCTGACAAGATACTACTATTATATAAACTTTGTAGGGCTTAAAGTAATACCCACATGAGAATTATGAATGTGTCTTAATTTTGATGTTCAGTTCAAAATAATTTAGGAGGGTTTATAAAAACATGGAAAATACTGGGTACATCAGACCAGTCATAGCAATTACAAATTAACATATAAAAGTCTATTATCACTTAACCCTGGTGAAAGGGTAAATATATACATGAAAAACACATATCTTATATATATTGAGGAGGGGTCGAGGTAGACAGAGGAAGAATTAGAGAGACAAGAACTCTAGATAGGAGAGTATGGACATCGAGGAGAAGACATGTTTTGTTGTTTGTATAGACTATAGACATTTGGTGTAGATACAAGAGATTATAGAATGAGATATAAGAAGACAGAAAAGAAAGGAAAAGGGGAAGACAATTGAGGAAGTAATGGACCACCACAATCACCCCATTGTATATATTTGCACAGCACAATAATAATGCGCAGAGCAATCAGTCGCCTTCCATACCTAAAGCCATAGCGGTGGCACGTCGACATGTCACGATGAACAATTACTATTTTACATGACTCTTGTTTCCGCATTCTGCCAAAATACCTCCGCCATGGACCTTTTCTGCCTTTTTTTTCCTTACCATTTTCTCCACCTGATGTCACTCTTCATTGATCAATCCGTTTCTTTTGCAATCCACCACTCATTAATCTTTTCAACTTTTAACAACATCCAACCAGGTAGTATTCTCATCAACTTATGCACATCTCGACTACTACATTTATCTCTCACCGGTACACACTAGTATTGGGACTTGAACCTGTCACCCTTTCAGATTTCTAAAGCAGATTTTCCAAGATCCAAGTTAGGAGAAAATATGTCATATGCAAGAAATAAGCTGGAAACATACTAAAAGGGTTCATCATCAGTGTCTAAGCTTCGGGTTAGCAGGACATACCCTCTCGAGAAAAACGGGAGACATATTTGGACTAAACATGAGCGGATTCCTTATCCACTCAGGGCATCTCAAAGTCCCCAGTGACAAAACAGAACACCAGTTCTGCACGAACCAAAAGGATGACTTCAGAATATAAGTTCCAACAGCAACGCCTGTTTGCAGTGAAGAAATGATATCTGAAATGTGGAGTGACTAGCCATGCTTAACTTAGCAAAGAACAGAAGAAAAATGAAGGCATCACTGAGCTCAATTCCAACCGTAAATGACTCCCTCTATGCATCAAACTAGATATAATGTTCAAGTCGTTGTCTCATAATCCACAACGCAAACATATGGATACCTCCTATTTGTCAATATGTGTGAACTGAAAATAAGTAAAGACCATAAAGCAAGTTACATAAAAACCTCAAAAAATTCCCTTCATATAGGAAGTTCAGCTGGATGACTGACTAAATTTGCACGTAATCCAGGGCCAGAGACCCAATATTCTATCTTAAGCCCTATTTAGCACTCTTCAGAAAAGTGTATCGAACCAAATCATCATTGTAGATCAACCAGCCTCAACCCTACTTTAAATTAGAAATGAAAGATCAACAAACGGAACATTAGAAAATTCAAAATTCTGATTCATCTAAATGAAAATTGACATCAAATAGCTGGCTAATAGAGGAAGACTAAGTGATTCCCTCTAATTTAGTGATTTCTAGAAATTAACAACTAATGCTCCATTAAGACTGCTTTAGATCAACTAAATGAAAATTGACATCAAATAGCTGGCTAATAGAAAAGTCTTTTAAGTTTTTGCAAATGTAGACGTGAAACAAAGGATGGTCCCTTCGAGGACATCCAATAAAAAAAACAAAGGATGTAATAACCAGATAACTTCTTATATATCATCTAGGTCTCTGCTTTGGAGCACTCCTTCAAGTTTCAAATGATTAACCTCTACTAATTGAGGTTGTTATTTCACATTATCTCTCAACCTCAGAGTAAGACTAACTAAGACCAATATCCAGAAGCGTATAGGAATGACTTAGTCCCAATTTTTCGATTTATACTAACTTTGTATTTCAGTTTTCCGCTTAATTGAGAGAAGAAAAACAAAGCACAACAAGAGAAGCAAAAAAAAGAAGATGGATATACTGCGAAGTAGTAATTTACTAGGTCAAAATAATTTTTTAGCAACAAAACCCTACAAGTTTATCCCAAATAAAGCTCAATTCATCTGTAAGGCAAATTTTCTATGACTATTGAAACATGAATAAGTGCTTTTGCAAATATCAAAGATCTCAGCAGGGATTATCACATATGTGCAGTTTAGGCAGTAGAAAATGGAAGTTGCAAGGAAGACAAAGGGGCCCTTAAGAATAAAAAAGCAGGATCCAGGACAACAGAACTCATCCAGAATGGTAGAAAATTTCATACCATTTTCTCCTGAACAATGTCTTGGAAGATGCACATTCCTGGACAGATATTAGTTGCATCGTCACCTAAAATATACCATCCAAATGACAGTTACAAAAGAGATGAGACATCACGGACTCAAAACAATACTTAGTAACTAACAGTTGGGACAAACCTGAATTGTCAGCATTTCTTCTACAGCAAGCAGGCTGAAGAATATTGTCTGATGGTATGCCTATATGAACTCATACTAGATTGTGCAGCTCCAGTTGGAAGTTGTTCCCGGGGAGATAGAGCAACTGCGCCTTGTAAGCTGAGCAAATAAATTTTATGCTTGATCCATCCGCAGCTGGAAGAGAATCTCCAAAAGCTATCATTTGTCTGCTCAAAACTAACATCAGTACGTCATTGTGTTTGCCTTTTACAAGAGGAGTGAATACTTCTACCCACTTAAAACTGGTTAACATAGGTTGTATTCTCAGTTGCATTATCTCTTAAATTTCAACTTCCACAAAATCGTTATAATGTAGAACTCTTAGCCAATAAATATGGTTAAAACTTCAGTGGCAAAGTTGATGACCATTCTTTATCAATAATGCAGAAGCTTAGCCATTTGAATTTTAGACTGGACCTTCCTTGCTTCATGTGTAAGTCCACAACTACGAAGACCATCAACAACAATTCGTTTATCTGATTTAAGAATTCTCATGCCACCTCTAATACACGATAGTAGTAACTTAGATGCTGCGCGAAACCTCCTAGCTTGGCAAAGACCACGGACTATGGTAGAGTAAGTAACAGAATCTTTCGTATCCATTGACTCAAATATATGTGTAGCATAATCCAATTGACCAGTTTTACACAACCCATTGATAAAAGAATTCCACGCAACCAAGTTAGAATCAAAACCCATCACACTCATACGGTTCAATTGTTGCTGGGCCTCTTGGAAATTACCAGTCCTGCACAAGCCATCAATCCAGATAGCATGGGTGTACTTGTCAGATTCCAAGCCTCCATTTTCTGCCTCATATAACAACTTATAAGCATTATCCAGCTGACCTTCCTTACAATATAGATTAAAAATGGTATTAAAAGACACAATGTCAAGGGTAAAGCCACTTGTAATAATATATCCCAGGTACTCATTGGCCTCAGTTATCCTCCCAGTTTTAAGTAACATACTTGCAACTGTACAGTAAGCAAAGGCATCATATGTATATCCTTTGTTTCTCATCTCTGCAAAGATTTTAAGGCCTTCTTCAAATTGTCTATATCTGAAGCAACATTTCATTACTGTCGTATAAGTGATGGCATTCGGGATATGACCTGATTCTACCAATTCGTTGAGGAACTCTCTGGCAACGTTTCCTCGTCCTGACTTGCACAACCCATGAATAAGAATGTTGTAAGTTACTAACTGAGGAATAAATCCATGACGCTTTAAACTCCTAAATAGCATAAGGGCATTCTCAGTATATCCATTCATACACAGTCCATTAATTAAAATATTAAACGTTGCTGAATGAACAGATATATCTTTCAAAAGAATATCTTGAAAAACCCTGTAAGCTTCGTCTGGCTTCCCGAATTTAAAGAAACAATTCATTAATGAGTTGTAACTCCAAATATCAGGAAGAATTCTCATCTCAAGCATTTCATCAAACAGGTCGAGACATTTAGATAACAGAGAATATCTAGTAGCTCCGGCAATCAAAGCGTTATAGGTAATAACATCAGGGTTAATTCCAGCGTCTTTCATCCTATTAAGGATGGAATAACCAGCATCTATGCCAACAAAGCGGCAATATGCAGCAATCAATGTGTTGTAAGTGACAACATCTGGTTGTAATCCAATTCTTACGCCATCAACTATAACAATTTCAGCTTTCTCTAATTTTTTGGCTTTACAAAGAGATGCCACACAAACATTCATTAACCTTGTTGATAATTTATCCTTGATTCTCCGCATCTACTCAAAACAGTTTACACCTGAAATCTGAACTACTTTTCGAACAAAAGTGACAGAAAAATACTTCTCAGATATCAAATGCTTATGAAATCTCTGTTTGAATGGAAATGATCAATGCACATGAACATATAAAAAATACAGAATCACCGGATTTGCACACAAGAACAATGCATAACTGAAAGAGTAGATACCTTAAAACAACGAACGAAAGCAATAGCCTTTGACCGGCTATCTAGCAAGAGAATGAGAAAGAAGATTTCAAAAAGCTCTCTTTGCCAGTTTCTGGACTTTCGCTAAGCCAACAGTTGCCGCCGGTTGAAAGACCACCGGGAAATTTCAAAAGACTTTTGGCTGAGTTTTATGAAAAAAGCCCATAAAGTATATCAAATGTCAAGTACATCCTTAATGTATTGTAATTAAGAGGAGTTATAGTAAAAGTATCAAAAAGTGAACAAGTTTGATCCAAAGTTAGAGCCTGTTTGGATGGGCTTATAAGCTGGTCAAACTGGCTTAAAAGTCAGTTTTTGACTTATTAGAGTGTTTGGCAATTATCAAAGTAACTTATTTTAAGTCAAAAATGACTTATTTTAAGCCAAAAGCTAAAAGCTAGGGGGGGGAGCTTTTTTTTTTTTAACTTAAAAGCTCTTTTATGTTGACCAAGTATATTACCTTTTTGCCCTTAATTCTTTTATACAATTTCCAAATTGCCCATATTGAATTATTATTATTATAATAATAATATTATTATTATTATTATTATTATTACTATTACTATTACTATTACTATTATTATTATTATTATTA